TTCCTTTAGATTTTTTGTTTAGGAACCCTTTTCCTCCACAATTAAACTATTAAAATTGCCAAAACTTTTACAGGTTAGAGAAACTGTATACCCAGCTGTCAGAGTCACTGGAAGGTAGCTTGAGGAATCAGAAAGGCACATTGCTGCTGACAGTCTGTTTTTCTGATTGTCATATGTGAAACCTTCTTTAAGATGTTCATTGTCCTATCTATGTTATATCTATGCCATTAAAGCACCTTTAATACTTTAAGATTTAAGAAAAATTCCACGACATGCAATGTCCACAGACATAGGGCAGATTGCTTCGGTGCAATAAATCATTATAAAAGATAACTACTGGTCTGTTCAGCTGATATTCAGATGTGAAATAAAGTCAAGTCATTCTAAAACAGAGTCAAATTAATTTAGGGTCAAAGTGAACAACAGCTCACTCTCGTATGTATTATGTTTTGTTTGATTATTTCCTCCTTTATGCATCTCATATGTGAAGGGCAGATTTTTCAATTCTATTGCTTTCAGAGGATTAATGTTAAAACTTTTCTTTTCTGTATTTATTTTTACTTATTGTAAGGTTGTGGGGGTTTTTAAATTTGCATTACTGAAATTATTAAACAACACTACTAAATTAAAAGTACAAAATATACGGGTAATACAGTGAAATGTCTAAGCTGAAGTTGTCTGAACAGAATGTATGTAAGAATCCAACTTCATAATCAGTATGGAGGTACCTCTTCAGGAGAGATGCCAAATCTCTTGGAGAACAAAAACCACAATGAATGTCACCTGACAGAAGTTATGATTTAAGAAAAAAAATATAATCTGCTCTGTACTACTCCAAAATTTTGTGCAGGACAGGAAAACAGGCAGACAGGGACCTTAATACTCAGAATGAGTGATCATCCCCTCCTGTCAGCAAAGAGCCAGGTTTGCTATTAAAAGTTTTCTTTCTTAGTTATGTCACTAAGAAATTATGTTAGCAAGAAACTGAAATTTAAAAACACCTCATCTGTAGCTAAGGCAGATGCTTAGGCTAAAGCCCAAAGAAAAAAAAAAAAAAAGGCTTTTTTCACACTGAATTTTTTGGGAAACTTACAAATTATCTGGCCAAATACAGATATGTGTATATATGTATATATATAACAGTATATATTTTATATGCATATATATAAGGTCTTTCTTTGCCAGTAGCAGAACGTATCTTGAAGAGAAGAGGTTATGGACATACCCACCTACATCAGCCACGCAGCAAGGCCCCTGTGCCTGGGATCCACAAGACTCAGTGCATGTACACAGTGACTATTTTCCAGGATTTCCAAAGTCCAGTCATTTCTAACGCCAGCAAGGAGAGTTTCGAAATTTCCTTTCTCCAGTCCTCTCTCCCCTGAGCTCTGCAGGCATGAGCTGCCCTCCCTTCCCTCCCTCCCCATCTCTTCCCGTTGGAAATGTCACTATCCCCATCTGCTGCCTCTGAACTCCCTGTGCTGGCAGGAAGGCACAGGCACAACGAAGCAGCTGAAGTTATTCAGCATAATGTGCTGCACTGACACTTCAAAGGCAATTACTAGCATTTTCCGCTGAGAAAAAAATTGTGCAAAAGGGATTCATGCTGCTATGGTTCTCTTTTGATGCCTGTAACACAGACCAGGATGCATCTCCTGCATCATCAAGCCCAACTCCTTCTTGCTGCAGGCACCATGTAGCTTATTTGTTCAGTATGAGTATGTGTGCTTTTTACCAGCTAAACTAACTGGGGACTGAGGGATTGCTTATGCCTTCCAGTACATCCCTGGAAACAAGATAAGCTATCATAATACCTGAATTACATGGAATTTTTTTGTGTGTCTACCTATCGCAAATGATGTTGCAATTTCAGCCAGCAAATGTGTATGTTATTGTGGTCAGCAGGACTTCTCTTGTTTGAAATTATGCATGCTTTACTGTCTTTGTCAAATGAAATTGTAACAACACAGCTGAAAAGGTGTGCGCTCTTACTCGAAAACATATTTTACAGGAACTGCTTCTTCTGATAATTACATATTTGATGACAGAGGGTGAGGGGGTGAAGAAAAGCTATTTTCCCATCTGCAGCAAATCCTGACAGCCGCTTAAAAACAACAGTAATGAGGCAGAGAAAGAGAGACATTCGTGAAGGTTTTAGATATTAGTTTCAGATAAGTATGCCACATGCCAGGCCTTCCTTGATTTATTTTGGTTGCAGAGGAGGGGGCTTTGCACAGCTTGCTGGAACTCCTGGCAAAATACAGGCATCTCAGGAGCTGTAGGTCTCACTGAATATTTTAAGCAAGACATATTTGGTGAATGGTTTACTTCACAGCATTCACACTATTCAAACTCTGGACAGAACCAGGAAATGAAGAAGTGAAAAATGGATCAAAGTTTATTGACCCAATAAATTCAAGAAAAGGGAAAAATTCAGATCAGTCTTTACCGAGTCCAAGCAATTCACCTCATCATAAGCAGGCTCCTCTTTGCTGTAGAGCCCCAAGTATGAGCTCAGGAAAGTTTGGAAAGTAAAAAAGTTAAATGATAACAGTTGTCAACTCCAGACAAGAGCAGAGGAAAGGAAAGCCTTGTAACAGCTCTGTCCCAGGAACAAGACAGGCAGAGCAGAGCTCTGCCTCCAGCTGTAGCATTCACCCTGCAGTATTGCAGTGATTTCAGGGGAAGTGGTTTGTGTGATCTTACACCTTACAAAAACCTGTCTCCTCTTGTCCGTGGGGGAACGTGGCACGGCAGCTGCCAGCACTGCAATAAGTGGAAACCTTCAGTCATGCGTAGGAGAGAGCTTGAGGCTTCTGAAAGGTCTTTGCTTTATAAAGTTGTGGCTCCTGTGTTCTGCCTCGCAATCCTATCTGCTGGCATGTGTAATCATAACCCTTCAGCTGAAGATCTACACTATAAAAGTCTGCAATGCAAGCTACCGAACACATATGTTTGTCTGTAAATGTCCCTACTTAGATACAGAAATTCTATTCCTACCTTTACATGCACTGTAAATTTTTCTGCAACTTCTATAAGGCGTTAAAACACATGCATATGAAAAACAAGAGTACATTAATATACTTGATCCCCAGGACCTGTTAGTTTCTCCCACTGGTGGTATTTGCTGCTTAGTAAACAACACATTTCTTCACCCAGATTAATTCAGGGCAGCAAAAATCTCAGAACACTTTGTCACTAAAAACTGTTTTGAGGCTTCCCCTGGTGTTTGCGGGACGCTGTGAAATGGGTACACAGGCACATCAAACATTAAGGCTGTTCCCTAGACAGGTAATACTACTTGAAATTAACAAAATAGAAAAAGAAAAGTAGGAATTGGTTATCAGGTTCTCTGGCTGCTTTTTTATTGGTATTTTAGATTAAGAGGAAACAGATTGTAACTCTAGTAGCTTGTTTCAAACATAAGCAGGAGCTGCTGTGGTACTCGGTCACGGACTACACCTGGAATGGTCTGTGGACTGAAGGCAAGGACAGATGCTTTGCCATTGCCACTTAGATATGTTTGTGGCTTCTTGTCTCCAGCCATAACACACTTCTACTTCCTATATTTTATTGGCTCTTGATGACTTTCCTTTAGATTGCTGAACCAGCTATACTGAAACAAATTTTTAAGTGGAGTATCTATATATTTAGGTATGGGGTTTGTTTTAGTGGTTTGGTTTTTTTTCTGATAGTCAGTTTGAAAATCTCTCTGTGTGTACAGTGAGTTTAAAATATTCATTTCTACTAATTTTCACGCTTGGTATTTAGCAGCCTGAAAGAGAGTTGATTTGTTCTGGTTTTTCATTTTTTTCCAGGCATTTGGAAGCAACCTGCCAGACATGGCACGACCTAGTGCCCAGCACAACATGGGCCTTCAACATCATCCTGTTCATTAGAGAGAAGTGTCTGAACTCACTAAGCAAGTGTTGGTTGGCGGCTGAGGTTGAAAAGACAACACAGCATCCTAATGCCATAAGGAGAGGAACTGTCTGAAGGCAGGAAGCACTTGTACACTGCACTGGTCAGCTGTCTTTCACCAAACAGCGGCACCAAAGCACCACGAAGCCTGAAAGGAGGCCAGCTCTCTTCCTAGGCACCAAATCTTATACTCCATCAAAATCTTACCAAAGGTCTTGGATGTGGAGGTGCAGGAGCAATGGAAGGTGGGTACTGAACATCAGGCTGCCCAAAAGGCAGAAGCCACAGCAGGAGCTTTAGACATGTTTTTGGTAATGGAGAAAAAGTTCAACCTGTTGGGCAATGACTGTCCTTCTCCTTCTGAAGGAGACAGCTTGTGTAGCCTCTGCCCCTCGGACTCTGAGCGTGAGCTAAAAACACGCTACGGGTTTGTGCTTACAGCTCTGGAGGGCTAAATCCAGCTGATCAGTGTAACTGGAAACATGTTCCACTTTGGATATTATTCACATCAGCTAGTACCACATAACAAAATGTTACTCCTCTGGTTCACATCGGTGCAAGCGGAGCAGAACATTAGGAAACCTCTAAAGACAATGAGAAAATAACAGGAGAATAAAAAACATTTCTCAAACTGATTGTACAAACAAGTTTCATTGTTAAATGAAAATAAAAAATATAATAAGCGACAGGGTTCCCAGATTCAAATGCTGTCATATTTTAAGTTCACTACTGGAGAACTTCTGATTCTTTCACTTTAGTTCGGCACAGCCTGAAGGACTTGGCTTTTTCATAACTCAAGGCACAGCACCAAAATGCAGCCCTCAGCCTGACATCCAGTCAGGGTCACTCTGTGGATTAATCAGGATGCCTGATTCTCAGAGATTTTGTGCACATTGGCTGATCATCTGATTACAGCAGTGCTATAAATGGATAAGACTATCCATCATGTAGCTTTCCAGACAGTACATGATGTATTCTACCTCAGGAAAATTAGTGTGCTTATTATTTGGCAGTTTGGATTCCACTTGCATGCAGAAGAGACCTTTGTGCTCTGGAATTATTTGAAAAGTTTGTCGCATTCAGAAAGCATCTTGTTTTACTGTCATGGTGAAGTTCAAGCACATGACCATATTATTCTCAGAACCGTCAAAGAATGCTTGTAGAATAACGTTATAATTGCCCTAAATGCAAACATGACAAAAACAGAAAATTAGTGCATAATGCTGCCCGCTCTTGTCCGAGTAGCTATTTGGAATGGTTCTGGTCATTTCTGTTAAGATGTAAAGAGAAAGACTCCCATCAGGAACTGTTACCATAGGTATACTCAGATATATGTGTACACACAAAAACAATATTATTCAACTTTCTTCTCATGACCAGGGTATTAAGGACCAGAAGCAGGCTGCGGTCCAGCTTGCATTTGTCAAGGTCCTCTCTCAACCCAATGAGTATTTTGCTCCCGATGTTGCCTGCTCCCCCTTTCAGAGCCATTCTCTTGAGTAACGTTTCTGACTCCACAAATGAGAATTAACTGAGTTGATAAACCAGGCTGTGCTCTGTAGCAATGGGCTTTTTTGTCCCTACTGTGAGGCAGTAACCTTATTAGCCCGTATAGCTTGCAACCAGCAAGGATTCACTCCTATCAACACTTCTGTTTTCTGCTTCCTGCCACCTTCTTGCCCCAATACCCATATGCAAACCATACGTACTTGCAACAACAGCCTCTGTACTTTACAGTCAGTTGGGGAAATCCTCCGGGCTACATACTACACAGCTTCTGAGCAGCCTTGCAACAGAGTTTGTTGTACTGGACAGTCCATCTTTTTGTTTTCAGCTACAATCATATACTGGACGTTTAACTGTTATTCATCCTCAGTAGTGCTTACCAAAACCATCAACTTATAGTGAATATATGATGTGAATATATTTGCTGTTTTGTATAGTTTGGGTGAATATCTCTTTTCAGAAAATATGTACATGTAAGTATGTTATTTTACTATAGTTATTTCTTTATATAAAATGCTGAAAAGTACCTTTGGAAACTTTGTTCTTGCACCTTTAATGTCAAATTCTGTTGCAATTGTTTCTGTAAAGCAGAGATAATTAAAATATTAATGGTTACTTAATCATAAAGCCATCAATCAAACTTCCTAAATAGCATCAAAGCAATATGGCATATCTCTCAGCAGCACTGACAATGCCATTTGCTCTTCCAGTGATAAAGTCCTCACATGTTTCTTTCCCCAGACCTCTGCCTATTTGTTCTAAATTTTGTTAGAAAATAGAAATTAACCACAATGCTACTGCAACATCTCCTGCAGACCCATCCTACTGTGATAACTCAAATAATTTATCTTGTAATAACAATTCAGCTGAATCATAACTGAAGAGAGCTGATATTCACTTTTAAAGAAAGGAAAACATGGATTGCATATTTTTACATCCCTCCTGGTCTTTTTGACCTTTAGTCTGACATCTTGCCTGAATTCTCTGGATCTGAAATTGTGTCATGTTAATGTTAGTTAGCCTCTACAACAGGTTTGACTCTTGTCTAATAAAAAAAGCATTATACATGGGTGCAGAGAATGTCTTTACAAACCCATCCAGACATTTATCTAAATAAACTGCGTTCTGGATGTTAGCAGAGTTCCTAGCTCCTCTCCAGTTCTGTGTGCAGCCCAGTCAAATGTAGTCTTTCCACATCATTTCAGAGATGTTAACAAAATAAGTGTCATAAGGAGATGGGGGATACTAGTAACCCTAATTTATAGAGATGGGAACTGCAGTACAAGGATGTTGAAGTGTAGAATTCAAAAATTCTCTATTTTAGCAGGGTTCTGGCATGGGAGAACTGCCTGCTCTAAAGTCTGCTGCCTGCCAAGCAAGGTGAGTCTGTCTAGATCGTGGAGAGAAAAATCTATCTGCACAGGACAATCAATATTTTAAGAAATCTGCGTAGTGGTGAAAAAGGGCTGGCAGGTTAAGGCCCTGTTTTGGAGGGAACCTTCCAGGCAAGGGAAAGGCACCATATGTCTTCCACACTGACCTCCTTTCAGCTTTCCGCATACTGAGTATTCATCGTCAGCTCCAGTGCAAAGCACTTCTTTCCAGTGTAACGCTTCGGCACCGTCGAACCAGACGTGGAAGACGATCTTCAAAAAGGTGATGTCATTTCCTAGTTAAGACATTGCAGGGAAGAAGAAGGTATCTGGTGGTGACACGCTATTTAAATAAAAACTATTTTTCTCTGAAATATGTTTTTTTTTAAAGGCTCTCCCTTATACTAAAAAAAATAAATCTTGAAAACTACATTACTTCCAAAAAAACAAAGTTGGTTTTTAACAAAAAGCTTCATTCTTAAAAAATATTTGAGTGAGCAATTTCAAAATCAGCTTTAATTTCTTCTGCAAAGATAATAGTGTTCACTCAGCTCCGCAGCTAACACAGTAAATACTCTGATGAGAACTCTGAGAGATCCCACACCTGTAGCTTTAAGCAGGTGTTACAAACAAACCATTCTGAATGCCATCATAAAGCTATCTTTATCTTCTAGTGTGCTGCAAAAGCTTGTCTGGTTCTTCCAGCCAAACGCATGTGTACCTAAACCGTCTCAGGTTTGCATGTAGAGTGCCAGTCAGCGTGCAGAGCTCTGGTAACTGCTCAAACAAGTGAAACTCACACATTCTTATTTCCACAAATCACCATTTCTGTCCATCTCTATAGTTTATCTATTCCATTTTTAATCACAGCAACCGATCTCCTAAATAATTTGACATTTAGGATAAAGTGTTAGCTTTCTGCTTGTATTCAATTTTTTGCACTATAATTGCCTAGTCAAGAGGGACTCACCTGGAATCCAGGTAAGATAAGTCTTCCAAATGGATTTGTTCATGATGCTGCAAGGTGTCAGATTAAACGTGAAAGAATGAGCTGTAGAATCTACAGGATAAAAAAAGTATTTCACATTGTTAGTGTGAATAGGCTTCTTCAGGAAAATAATCAAAATATGCATATATATACCCTTACAATAAACACATACAATATAAAATTTTATTTAGTATAAGGTATGTACCATAAAATTCTCTAATATAATTATCCATAGTAAACATTAAAAATACTTTTTAAGAATATTTCTGATTCTTTATATACTTAGAAGGCAAAAATAGTATTGTATTTCTTTGAGACTAAGTAGTAGGAAAGTCAATTGTTGGGCTGATATTTTGCACACAAACACTTAAGAGGAGAAAGTACCTTTATTTCTCTTTTGAAGTTACACAAACTTTTTATTAGCGTTAAGCCAGCATGGTCCTCTGCTGAAAATAACCCTACTTACGTTAACCACAGAATCTATATAAAGTTGCTGACAACAGTTAAAAATGTTTTTAATGTGTCAGAATATTTTCCAGGATAACGTAAATGAGCCTTTGAGCAGATTTGCCTTGGGAGTGACCCACCTAGCACTGTACAACGCACAGGGTCAGATGCAGTATGATAAAGCATTGTACAGCCTGCATCTGTTCAAATTTACAGCCCATTAACTGATATTTTAATTTTTAAAAAGTCACACAGTGACAGCCTTTGGAAGGATTTCCAGACAGTATTTTTATTTTTATTTTTATTTTTATTTTTGGAAAGCAGTCTGTGCAATCCAGCTTGCTTCTGCCCTCCCCAGCATGCTGCCGCTGCTCAGGGTGGGTGGGAGTCAGGGTGGGATGGGTGCTCCTGGGGCCACCCCAGCCAAGCCCGGCGGGAGCAAACAGGATGGCAGGGTGATGTTCTGTGAGGGGTCCTGTCTTGTGCTTTGGGGATTAAAGCAAGTGGCGTGCAAAGGGAAACTGATTGGCTGTTGGTAACCAGCTTCTCATCTCAGATACAACTACGCACAGGAAATTACAACAGAAAAAAAAAGGCAAACAAAACTCCCTGTTGTCTCAAAGGTTTGGTTTGCAAGCTTAAGTGCTGCCACTTTCAGCCTTGTTAAATTTTTAACATGAGTACTAACGTAAAGCAAAGTACCCAAAATAAACATCCCCTCCCGCCAGCTATTTTACAGGTGATACAGAATAGTAATGCACACAGATTTTCAAAAGACGTGGGCCTTTCCTTGCGAAATATCTCCTCAAAAGCCCACCTTCTGGCCACTCAGTCCGCACAGGCACCCTGAGCCTTTCCAGCACAGACACCAGGGAGGTGCCATGTTGCTGCAGAAGCAACCCAAAACACCCAGTGAACTACACAGATCGAGCAGCCCGCGACACAGACACAGCAAGAAGGGACACGCTATGTTGTCCCAGAGCTTTACTGATCCCCTAGGCTGGTAGAATTATCACATTACCCCTTTTTTCCATATATTTAAAGCTTTTCATTGTAATACATTGGTTAATCAATGGGGATAAGTTATAGAACACAGTACTTGCAAAACAAGTTTAAAACCCTTATCTTTTATTTTTTCCTGAATCAAAACATGCCTGCTTTACTTGGGAGCAAATTTCTCTCTGAGCTGCCACAACCAGCATATTTACAACTATGCAGCATAACTCTTCTAAAAGGGTAATAATAACAGAAATATATTCCAGCTGAACTTCTTATTTTTCTGTATTTATCAAAGAAACAAATTCGAAAGAAAGTTCACATTTCCTCAGACTACAGTAATTATTATGCAAAAGCCAATAAGAAAAGAGTAAGCTATTTTTTACTTACCACAAAAAGTATATGACATTTCCAGATCTGATGATGTACAGAGAAATTCACTGACTCCAGGGGTGAATAAAATGAAAAAAAAAAGTCCAAACATAGTTACTTTTTTTTGTCTCAGTACTCAACGGAATAAAACTTTGTTTGGGGGAAAGAGGAACAAAAAATCAGCACAGTCATCCTCAGTCACATGTCTTCAGGGAATATTCGGTTATTTTGTCAACTGCTCTGCAATCTTAATTAATCCTACTGCAGCACTATCTGTTGCCATCACAATAAATTTTGTGAAGAAAAAGAATTTCTGCCTTTGTTGTTACATTTTCCTCACACAACGCAGCTAAAGCCACGAGTGAAAAATTAAAGAGAAAACTGTGAAATAGGGAAGTGAGAAGAAATTAAATCATGATTACCAGAAGCATGTAAAGGGCAAGTTCAGTTGACTCATCAGACGTTAACATTTGTTAAGGCATAATTCAAACACTCACAGAGATTCCTGTACATAATAAAGAAGACAAAAATCCACAAACAATGAAAACCAAGTCCACTCTTTTATTGATATGGTAGTCAATAACTCTCACAAGTTTTCAGAATGGATTTCTTACAAAGCTCACCATGCTTTCAGAACACATCGGCACTTTGGAAGGGTGTAAGTAGATGATGCATTTCCAAATGGAGGTAAGGATGGGAGCTGAATGCAGGCATCTGACATGTTACTGAGTAGAACCTCTGATGTCCTGCACTATCTCAGCTACCATCTTCAAAGTTGTATCTATCACAGCTACAATTCTTAGTGAAAACAATCTCAAAAATCCATAAAATTACAACTGATGAGTCCCATGTCTGCCTCCCAGCCTCCCTCTGTGACCTTCTCCCGTGCTCCTCCCCGCAGTCTCTGCCGGAGAAGCTGGGCTGCACAATTTTGTTCTGCCGGTGCAGTGCACAGCCATGGGTCCAGGTGGACGTCAAACATGAGACAAACAATAACAAAAGCTGTCAAATTTTGAGTGAGATGTTCCTATAAGAACACAGAATCTACCTGTCACAACTGGAAACAGGTTAGGAGCCCGGTTTTAACTTAGGACATTGAAAACAGTCTCGGCTGCGGATTTGGTACTCAAGTTTGAAACACTAAAACAAAAACTCTTAAAGCACTTTTGGTATTGGATATCCCCCCCATTTCTGTCTGTTAGTGCAATACACAAGGAATAACATATTTTTCCTGTATCTACCATATCAGTTCTGTGGACTAAACTGGGTCAGCTCTTACTGCGCAAACCCAGCTATATTGCTAGTCCCAGCTATGGAAACGGATTTTTAAAAGTCTAATACCTCATACAAGAGAGTACAACCACCATCTAACTGACAGGATAGGCAATTACTTTTTTTTTTAAGATAACAAAGTATGGAAAATTATTGAAGTTTTGGAAAATTACTTATGCAACTAAATTAAATTATTTTCTCATGAGTTAGTTACCCTCTTGATTTGTATGTACGTCTGTGGGCTCCTATTAGATCAGAAATTGTATTTGTTATGAAAAAAAAGCAGTATACAGACCAGACAAGTATTTGGTTTTGCACTAAGCAGGAAAATCGATAAATACTTAAAACAAATATAACTTAACCAATTGTTATGACTCTCCCCACTCTCCATCACAAAGTCTAAAAGACTTTTCTCAAAAATTCTGTGCACGCCAGGGTAATATTTTACGTATTTTAAAGATAAAGTAGCAAAAGATTAAGAAATTGGTTTTCAGAAATCCAAACATGTAACACAGAAGACAATTTAGGAACAGCCACATGCAAAAAAAAAAAAAAATATTCACTGTGCCCAGAAGAAGGGGAGGCAGTGAGAATTCTATTAAAACTACTTAAAAGTATCAACTAATGAGTTAATGCACATAAAAATTCACAAAATAAGACAAAAAATTCAAAATTTAATATGGCTAGAGAATTCTCTTCTGTATTTCCAAATCTTTCTACAGACCACAAGAAGAGTCCCAGTGGCCTGACAGAGCTCAAGACTGAAAGAAACTTCTAACCTTTGGCTTTTAACTGGGAATTCAAAATTATACAACTTTCCTGACAGATCTCTGGAGTACACACACGGCACAAAGATTTTTGCTGTTGCTTAATAGGATGCTATAAATGTACAGACCCTTTGTAACCATAGCAATAATACAGTTCTGTTTCAAAATGCCCAAATTTAGCTTAAAAATAGTAAAATATCTAATGAAATTGAATCAAATTGGGAAGGCTGTAGTAATTGGGAAAAGAAATGGAGTAATGAGACAGGCACTAAGTGATGAAGCAGCCACTATAGAAGAGGTACGTTGTGCATGTACAGTCAAAAAAAGGTCCCTTTCAACCACAAAGCCATGGCCATGGATGTCAGAAGCCAAGCCAGGCTCTCCGCTGAGTCTTCTGTCAGTCCACTAGATTTAGCGAACGTCACAGGTCAGTCTGAATCAGGCATGAGACGGCACTGACCATACTCTATTGACACATGCGATGACCCGGCAGAAAGCGTGTCCCTCTGCGGCCAGACTTGTGCTTTGCTGCACAGTTCGTTGGGTGGCTGAGGTACTCACGGGCAGACTGGAAAGAGGGCTGCAGATTTACAAGATTTTATATAAAAGAAGATAAGCTCTCTGCTGAGCTCCGTGACTTTCTAGACCTGGTTCAAGAATAGGTGTTTTTTTCAGATACTTGCTGCAGTACATGATCTAGATGAGGAATGAGTCCCCCCTGGTGGCTTAGACAGACAAGACACATGGGGAAACCTCTCTATCCTCTCTTGTTCCCTATTGCACTTTTATTGCACAAGATTATTCCAATGCTTTAATCAGTGTAACTAGGCTCCATTTTAAAAGGATCTGGCTGGCTAATGGGAAAACAGGAACGATAAGTGCTACTGGTATCAGGGCTAAAATATCACTTATGACCACGATCATAAAGTCTACAACATTGACCATTTTGTCTAGTCAAATGGTCCTTAAATCAAAATAACCTCAATAATTTTTAAATCTTTTCAGCAAATTCAGTTTTAGATGCTTGTGGCTTTTGATGCCCGCATCGATGCCATTCATAGAACTGACCTCTTGTGATGCTCACTAAAGCCCAAAACTAGTGCACTGTGGGGGTGAGGAGTCTCCTCTGCCCCTCTCGAGTCAGTATGAAGGGCACTGGAGAGGAAGGATATAAAGTTCTATACATTTTATTTTTACTAAATACTCTTTCTTTACTATAATATCTTCTTTTACACTCTGATCCAGAGGAAGGTGAAAAGGAAAGAAAGTGGAAAGAGCTACACAATAGTGTTACTTCACTAGAGCTTTGTGCCATTTTACTTCATTTATTTTGAAATCCTTTGCAACTACATTTAGTAGGGATCAGTTCCCATATCCAGTTAACAGTACATAAAATAGAGAATTCAGGACTTAATACCTATGAATACCTGAGATGCTGACAGTAAAAGTTTAACTCCAAGCCTCCACACCGATTTGTGGTTAAAGTCCTTAAACTAATTTACGATATTTTTATCTTCTTTCTCAATACCTCTAAAATGTGCTTAACTTACTTGTGATTGCTTTTCAAAATAATCACTTTTTATTCAGACTGTTGGCTGCAGATGAGTACTTTGGCCAGATAAGCACTTATAAGTCACTGAAGCCTCCCCCAGGAAAGATTTATCACATACATTATCATAATATCCCATCACAGAAAAATAAATAACAGTATAGCAGTACAGCAGAGGAAAGTACTCCATTTCAAAGTGTTAGTCAGAATTAAAAATTATGTCCTAATTCTTGGCATGCACGAAAACCTCACATTAATGGAAAACTCTTTTAAGATGTTACACGCATTTATTCAATAAAGAGGCAATAATAATTTAATTTTCCTTGCAGGACCTTTTGTGCCAGTTTTTGAAGTAGATCTTTTTGCAGCTGGAAGCAAACATGTTTATTACTTCTAATCCTGGGTTTACGGTTGCTGCTGAAGACACTCCAGTATAAAGGGGCTATTTATAAGGCATAAGGCATATATTCACAAAACAAAAACACACCTGGAAATCAACAGAAAAAGTAGACAACTGTAGCAATTCATGGGTAAATCTGTCTTCTCAAATCCTTTCATCCTAACTTCAACAATGTTTATATGGGAAGTAGAAAGTCAGTCCCAGGGATACTAGAAAGACGATGCAGTTCCTCTACACACAGCTGATGAAGTACTTCAGGGTGCCAGGCGAGTCCGATCCAAGAGCAGTGCATGAGTACATGTTCAGTGGTGAGCTGGTAGCACTTGAGTAAGAAAGCAAATAGTTGTGAAAAGAAAGCAAAAGCGATGTGCACTATTCTGAGTATACTTTTTAAAATGTTGTATGCAGTTTGGCTTAGTAGTTTGATTTGAATGTAACACATTAAACCATTGGAGGCTATTAAAGTGAAGCAAATACACACCAGGTAGTACCCTGTGGAAACAGATGTTGGAAATAACTCTCTGTCTGTTGCCAGTGGGCTTATGGTTTATGCTTTCCAAGCCAAGTTTAGGATTAAAGTTTACAGTTATACTCTAAAGCATACATTAAACCATTAAAGTTGTCAAGAAGAGAAAGCAGAGGGTGAAGGGAGAAGAAAGGGCTGTGTCCTACCTGAGGCTGACAGAAAGCACACCACAGCAACACTGTCCACCCTGGTATTCCAGAAATGGAGACAGCTAGACATGTTTTGCAGCCATTTGCTCTTGCTCTCTGTTCTTCCCTGCTTAAAATAGCTGCTCACTGAGGCCTGTATAGCTGTGGGATAATCTGATTATAGTGGATCCAACTCCTAGCTAGCACACTTGTCCCACTTCTCCGGGGGCAGCAGCAGGCTACGCTGCCTACGGGAGCATGAAGAAATCTGTGGTATGACCACAGAACTCCAGGGCAACCAAATTACAGCAGTTTACCAAGTTTCCACTTATTAAGTTATACTGAGCAATTTAATAATTCACATGTATGCTCTTATTTTTTACAGCACAAACAGAATTTCATGAAGTTTCCACCACCTAAATTAGGCTCTCACTGTGCAAAGATCTACACAGCTTTTCTTCATCTGCCAATGCGATGACATTGATTTGTAATAAAGTAAGCTCCAGGGAAACTGGTTAACTTTTGATTCTAGAGAGTGTGGTTAAGAGTGTGAAGTACCTCTGAGCTGTAAAGATTTCTCTTTAAAGAATCAAAAGGGGATAATCTTACCAGAATTTTTTACATTTGAAAGAAAAGGCTGAGAGTTGTGGGACAATTTAATTTACAAAAATAAAATAATGACAAGAATCATTGGACTTTTTAATTAAGAACAGATAGGGACTAATGAAAAATACTGTGGACAAAGCCAAAAACTTAAGCAACAGGGAGAGGGACACCGGCAAGAGAGCAACATGTAGTAAAAACTGGAAAAGAAAAATCTGCATGTATCCTGTCTGTTTTCCTAGGAAAAACAGCAGTCATCTATGACCTTCTGTGGAAGCTCTTAAGGCTGGAAAGGGATAGCAAGCAATGTCTAGGAAAGAGGCTCGAGCCATTTCATATGTTGATCCTCTTTACATCAGATCGAGTGAAACTGGTACCAAAGTAAAATGCAAGACTCAGTGGAGAGTGAGAAGTGACTGGCTGGTGCTGGATAGGTGGCAGGCACTGGCAGCCTTCACTGTAGGTGCAGTCTTGCAAATAACACGGCTTGTAGATCATGTATTTCAGAAGACTGGGCTTCTACATCAGTATTTCCTTCAGAATCTTCACTCAGGTGTATGAGCACATTCTCTAGGTGGTGTTGTTTTGTGTGGTGGGTTTGGTAGCAGAGGAGGGGCTACAGTGGTGGCTCCTGTGAGTAGCTGCTAAGAGTTCCCCCAGCCCTGGCTCCAAGGCTTTGGTAGCCAGGCAGGGGGGAGGACTACTACTGAGATGGCCCCTGTGAGAAACTGCCGCAAGTTCCCCCAGCTTCAGGCTGGACTCATCTCTGGCCAGGGCTAAGCCAGTCAGCGCCTCTATGAACAACATATTTAAGAGGGGGCACAGAACATGGAGGGGTTGGAGTGGCTCCAGGCAGGGCCCGGCCTGGCCCGACCGTCCAGATGCCTGCCCGGCTTCTTCTGTAACCCAGCCTGCCACAGCCCAGGCCTCTGCCATGGCTCACCCAAGAGCCAGGAGTCTCTCAAGAGCTGGTGAAAGAACCTGTGGTGGACAGAGAAGCTGCGTGTGAGAGAGACAACTACACAGACACAAAGGTCGGTGAAGAGAAGGGAGATGGAGCAGGTGCCCCAGAGCAGAGATTCCCCTGCAGCCTGTGGTGAAGAAGCATGGTGACGCATCCCTCATGCAGCCCATGAAAAGTAAGAGCTTGTTTGTAGCTCCTGGAGATGTGGCTGTGGAGGACCCCCCAGGTTGGAAGAAGTAGCCGTGCCCGAAGCAGGCTGTGAATTTTGTTGGAGAAACCCACGCCGGAGCCCAGCAGTCAGTGGAGGACTGTGACCCCATGTGGGAAGAACTCACGTTGGAATAGTTTGTGAAGGACTCTCCTGGGAGAGGGACCCCATGCTGGAGCAGGGAAGGACTGTGAAGAGCTCTCCCCTGAGGAGGAAGGAGCAGCAGAGACAACATGGACTGACCGAAACCCCCATTCCCTGCCCCCCTGTGCCACCAGTGTGGGGGGAGAAGGTACAGAAACCAGGAACAAAGCCTTTGGGCTCAGGAAGATGGGAGGGGTGGGGGAGAAGTACCTTTCTAGGATGTAGTTCTTTTTCTCATTATCTTGCTTTGGTTTTGATTGTAAATAGTGAACAAATTAAACTGGGTTTTTCTGTTTTCCCACGTCATGCCAGTTTCTTGCCTGTGACCATAAGTGGTGAGTGAACCCTCCCTGTCCTTGCCTCAGCCCACAAGGTTTTTAGCAAGAGGCTGTGTGGTAGCTTTTAAAACCACAACAAAATTGTTTCTTCCATGTTGTACACAAGTTACTTATGTCCAAAGAAACATCAACAACTACCAGGGATGTTAGCAGGTAGCAACACCTCTGCAGTTAGAACTTTTTCACCAAACATATAAAACTCAAGAAAAAATAAACAACCAGAAAATAGCAGCTCACAAAATTAATAGGACGGTAAAGGATGTGGAGATGATACGTAAAAATCAAAATATAATCAGGCATTGGGAATGACTTTATAACAATATCAGTTTATTGAAACACTCCCACTACAGTCAATTCTCTTGCAGGATTTGCTGGCAGCAAAAGGGCCTGTTCTGGTTTATGCACATTTCTTACCTTAGGACACCAAGCATTTCAGAGTTTCCCACTTGGAAACACACGCTGTGCACTATGAAATATCCGTATTAAGACAGACTGTTCAGAACCCAAAGTAAAACAGAAATACATCTAGAAGTCTTTTTTGATTACATTTCCACTCCTTTATGTTGTTTCTAATATGAAGAACAAACTACAGTTGTTTGAATAAAAACTTCTCTGTTTGCCCAGAGAAGTTGTGGATGCCCCATCCCTGGAGGTGTTCAAGGCCAGGTTGGATGAAGCTTTGACCAACCTGGGCTAGTGGAGGGTGTCCCTGCCCATGGCAGGGGGGTTGGAACTACATGATCTTTAAGGTCCCTTCCAACCCAAACCATTCTACGAATACTAGTCTTTACTGCTCTCAACAAGCTCCAGGGATCTAAACCAGTCACATACCCTGGGATTATACACAAGGACATGCAGAGGTGGAAATGTTAACAGGTTGCCATATTTATTTGGCAACCATAACAAGTATATGACTTCAAGATTTACAACTCAGTTGTTTCCCAAACTGAGTCAGACAAGTTAGAAGCAAACCAGGTAAAGCCAACAGAATATTGTGCAATTCTCATAAGTTTGGTCTTCCCTTTCTTTAATATAAAAGTACTATTAAAAGAAAGCTAGAGAATTATCGCTATTTTCAAGTTGAGCATTGGAATTATAATACTTTTCTGAAAGTACATCATGTCCAGAATCATCATTTATTCTCTAGTAGAAATCTGGATTTTTAATTTTTTTTTTTTATATCATCATTATGTCAGAAAGCCACCTACTAGTTTAACTTGCACTTCACTGCCAGAGGACTGAAGAACTAATTTTTAACTTCCACAATTTTTTTTGAGAAACTAAGCCACTGGAATGGAAATCCCTTACTATCGCTGTGAAAATCTGAATTGACCAAATCTTGAATTTAACTGTGAAAATTTTCTGCAGTCACAAGAAAAGGCTGGGCATTTTGATATTGCTCAAAGGGCACATAAATATAATTTTGTGGCCTTTCCTTTACCTTCTCTTGCAAACCCTAATTCCTATTCTCCCTGTATTTGGCATTTGAACATGAAGTTAACTATCTGCAAGTACAAAAATAAGAAAGTGATCAGACATGGAAAGAATGGAAAGATTATTTTTAATTAGGTGTAAAACTACATTTAAATAAAGACAAGTAGTACAACCAGGTGACCAGAGTTGCTTGTTACTGGCCTCCTACCTTCAATATAATTCATGGATTTCTTTTTTATATCAGTGTTACCTACGACGTGATACTGGATTAATGGGGCTACATCAGGCTTTTAAAATCATAGCATGCCTACACAAAAGAATTGCCTCAAAAATATCTGGATGGGATAATTTGTTTTTTAATTCCTCAGCAAGTACACTGAGAGCAGTTTCAACAGCCAGAAACACAACACTGATGTTTTAATATGATCTATAGTGTCATCCTATGACAGAAAACTGAAATAATAGTCTTGGAAGACATTTAGACTTCTAAATACATTTTTTCACCTACAGCTTAGATAACATCTATAAAGGTAGCTATAATTATTCTTTTATTTGCTGTATCAAGATGACTTAATTAGTAGCAAGCACCAGATTTACTTATTACAAGGGCACTGCTAATAAAAAATGATTAATTTGAATTTCATTTTCTTTTTAATTCAGTAATTTCTAAGCCTCAAAATATTTAGGCCCTTCATTATTTGAAAACAAGTATCCGTCCGCTTACGTGAAAAACCTCTCCTTGGGCTAAAAGCATTTAAATCCAATTTCTGCATACTTAAGAATGCAGAACTAACCACACAAAAAGATTTAATCTTCTTTTGACTTGAACTAAAGGTGGCTTTCTTTGGAGTGCTAATAATCAGGAGTTACGTTTTTTAAAGTCACAAGACCTAAACAGAACTTACAGGAGATTCCCTTTTGCTAAGTCACCTTACATAAATGCTGATAGAGTCCACTTGAAACACTAGCTGTCAGTATTCCTTTAAGCCGGTTCAAATACAGCACATTTTCAATGGGATATTCACAGAGCAAATCTCATGCTAAGGCACTTCTCCCCGCCCAACAAGAGAGACTTCTTGTTCTCCACCTCTGGGGACAGGGTTGCTTGGAGTGGGACTCTAGCTTAAGAAACCATTTAGTAGCTGGGTAGCTAGAGATTATCATGACTTTGTACCTTCTCCAGAGGCCTGCAGGCCTCTAGAAGGAGGCAGTAACACTACCTAGCAACAATATCTGTCTGCTTGCTGAAGACTCCTCCTGGCTACCAACACTCTCACAAAGGGACGTGAAGGCCACCTCTACTCCCTTTATATCAGCAGCAGCATTGATGAAAAAGCCGATCTTTTTGGATTAAGTACAATTAATCTTTAAGGCTTAAAAGCTTAACTATGTACTTGACAAGTAATGAAATACTGATTTTTTTTTTTAATATGAACAGTACCTTTTAAAATGGAGATGGTGAGACTGCCACACAGCCCATGCATTTTACCATTCTCCTGGAGAGATAACAATAAAAAACAAGCCAAGAACAAACAAGCACAAGAAAGATGTAAGCATATTTTTTTTTACTGTGCTTTGTGTCATTAACTCTGAAGAAACCCTCCCACTGTTTACAAGTTTAAAAAAGTGGGGTTTTTTTATACATTCCAAAATGCACTTGGGGAACTCTAGTTATCTGATACCTAAGAAAGAGTAATAGAATTTTACATTCTTTCACATACATAATAACGCACCATGAACAATGATAGTGACATTCATTATCTTCAAATTATTTCCTTTCACCAACTTCCTTTTCCTCCTCTAAGTTAAAATAAAAGGATTTGTCGTAGCCCATGAGATGGTTATAATCCTGAGGATTGGGGAAAAGCGTCGGATTAACAAGCATTGATTTTGTTTTAGCATAAAAAGTTGTAAACATCTTGGTAATGTCTGGAATCTTTACATCTTTCTGATGGAAAACAGTCGCTTTTTCTGCCAAGACTGCATTGTATGTAATGGCTGTGTACGTGTCCATTTCATCTTTATAATAGAGTCGAATCACATAGCCTTTTGTAAGGACATGCAAAGTAACCGGTGTTACGAACGTAAAAAACCCTATCAACCCATAAAAGGCAGCTTGTATAAACACGTTTTCAAATCCAATACCAGTTTTGAGCATGAGGTAGGGCATCATGAACAGGTTGAATACGCTTGTGGAGTAAGAGAAAAACCTCACACCTACATAAAACAAAACAAGAAGAAAACCAAGGTTAATACTTATGAGAACAATTATCTCTATAATTACATATATTCTGCTCCTGTATATCAATGGCATTACTTGAACAGCTGAAGCTATTGAAAATCAGCTTCCCTTTCTGTTTTAAACTCAGAAACACAAGAAACCGTTGAAAGTTCAACCTTGTGTTCTTGCCACTGTTCTGGTTTGTTTATATGCTCATGTTGGGTTTATCAAAGCTAGTAGCTGTCTCTGTTTCTATGATGAACTCAGCTTTTACCCATTATGCACACCTATGAAGTATTCACTTCACAGACAGGAAACTGAATTCAAAAGAAACTTGAAATTGACTCCAGTCATGGACATGCATAATGGTAATCATCACAGATACGGCTGGGTAGTTCTCTCTTCATCAACAACTAAAGCAGACATTCAGCGTGCATTAAAGAGAAGCTTGCTTGGTCCCATCACCACGTATAATTTGAAAAACCCAGGTTATTCAATATTTACAAGTACTCCACAGCCATTTTTCTGTACAGCTCGAAAGACAGTAGCCAGTATTGTGGATCACTCACAGTCCCTGAGCCACCGTGAGAACCAGTCATCTAAGGTGCTGTGATGATTACAGTTAAGTCAGACTTCCTTCTCGAAGATGCATTTCAAAGATTAACATCGGAAAACATCTAATTTTCACAAGGTCTTTGGAACATTAACTGGTCAAAGATCAACAAAGTCTCATTACAAATAGTATGTTTCATCACAGTATCTGCCTACTTCAGAAACATTTTTGTAACATTTGAAACCACACAGAATGCAAATAGCTGTTACAGCTGCTCTTTGTTTGCTACCGGGCTGGGCAATGCACTCCAAAGGCTGCAAGAGAAGCAGGAGGCTGAGGGGTGAGAGATGCACAGTACCTACAGAAGTCCCTGTAGACCTAAGTGTAGAAGCAGAAATCAACCACCACCACATTTTTTTGCTGTACAGAGGATCTGGGTTTTAGCGGAGTTGGTAAGGAGAATATTTTCTTTTATAATGTTGCATTTTAAAGTTATTAAACACTCTTAAATTAAAAAAAAAAAAAAAAGCAATACAAATAATTTCAAGTCACATACCTAACACTGCCCTTGCCAAATTTCCTTTATAAACTAATCTTCCATGTTCTGGGTGGTCATGAGGGGAGGATGTGCAGAGGGTGCGAAGAGCCACTCCTTGAAAAGATGTAACCTGGAACATGAGAGCAGCACATGGCCAAGCAACATCAGTACCAACCTACACTTTATACATATATACACACAGACGTTTATGTATTTACTCATACACACATACAACGTTTTTCCTTGCCCCGAACCCTGTTCCCAGCATTTTAAATTAGGGATTAAAGTAGAGAGTATACTACAAAGCACATCACAGACGTCAACTAACATACTGCTTGACTGCTTTAATAGTCTTATATTTAGATATCCCGAACTAGCACTAAATATCATATATACACACAGACGTTTATGTATTTACTCATACACACATACAACGTTTTTCCTTGCCCCGAACCCTGTTCCCAGCATTTTAAATTAGGGATTAAAGTAGAGAGTATACTACAAAGCACATCACAGACGTCAACTAACATACTGCTTGACTGCTTTAATAGTCTTATATTTAGATATCCCGAACTAGCACTAAATATTTGCAAACCCATCAACTAACATACTGCTTAACTGCTTTAATAGTCTTATGTTTAGATATCCCGAACTAGCACTAAATATTTGCAAACCCACTGACGAATATTAAGCCTGCAATCCTCTTCACATACGGCTTTGCAGGGAGACATTCACAGTCCCGCGCTTGCCAGGTCTCCGTTTGATCTCAGATATGCCCTGAGGGAAACCCCCCATTCCCTCCTTGGATTCGCATTTTTCCCAAAGAAAAACCCGCACACCCGAGGACTGCCGCCCTCTCCCCGCCCAGCTCCTCACGGGCAGCAGGGCCGGCTCCCCCCCACACGACCTGTTGGGTCCCCGCGGCGGCGGG